TGAAGTAATCTCGGTAATAAGTTCATTTTAATGGAATGGATTCAGCCAAGCCAAGAGATAGGCTTCTCCATCCAATTCTCCATGTCCCTAGTTGGACTTTCTATAAAAGGGGGTAGTCTAATTCATATAATTTAGCGGGGTCGGCCATCAGTTGGGTTCCCAGGTATGAGATCGATCTTTTGGCTATCTGTATAGAGTGAGCCTCGTGCCTTGTCCGATGCAGACATCCCTATCGGGAGAGCGCTAGATTTGGTCATGTTCGTTTTGTACCCAGATATAGTCCAAATCGAGTGAGAATATCCATGACTGTCTCCATGGAGGTAACATTCATCAAGGTCAACAGTACATCATCAGCGTACGCTGAGACTAGAAAATCCTGGCCACCCACCACTACCCCCTGGACATTCAGGTGTTTGTGTAAAGCCTGTAAAAGGGGTCCTAAGGCTAGGACGAACAGAAGGGGTGACGGTGGGCCACCCCTTTTCGAACAGTTGCCTGCCCGGTATAAAGCCAACTTGGTCAGCATTTATTAGTTTTGCTAGTAGGGTTCAGTCTATCTGCCAGGATTTTTGCGAATATCTTCACATCGTTAATGCGTGATATGGAAAACCGGGATACCTTCAAAGGTGATGTGTTCAGGAGCAAATTCACTTTATATGTGACTTCGTTGGTATGGAAAAATAAAGTATCTAAAATGATAGATGGTAACTGTGCCAAAGTGTATGGTGTGTATACCTTTAAATCTGCTACAGGCAGAATCTGTTTGGTACACACCGAATGATCTGCTTAATGCAAAGTTATTGCTAAATACAAAATAACCATATGAGACCTGGTTACCTGTTATGTATAAAATTAACACACTGTTTAAAATAGTGTGTATATTGCTTTAAGTAATCCGTTGGAAAACTAAACAGTGCACGAAACAGTATTATATTTCAATAGGGGGATATAAAAAAATTCCATAATAACTGTATTGGTTATAATCACTTGAGAATTAAGCAAAAACTACAAGTGAAAATAAAAAACCACTATTAACAAAATGTATTTAAAAAAGATAATGTAGAAATTTATTCATCATATAAAAAACATAAAAGAATAGTCCAAATTTGGAATAAAAATACAAATACAAAAAATGGGAGCCAGGAACGATTAGCAAGTCTTTAGCCACTGCAGATTTTGCACAAATAGCTTCATCCACACTGTAACTGTTAAGGATTACAGTGGATACTATTGTATCAAAAATGAAGAGAGATTACTTGCCGGCTGCTGGGGAGGTTGGCGTGCGTGCCAAACCTCACTCTGATTCTCAGATGCTCGGCAGTCCGTCTGTCCCCAGGTCGTAAGTGCCGTGTGTGGGAAGAAGAGAAGTGCTGCTGCTGGCGTCTGGCTGCTCCGTCGTATCCTGCTCACTATCACTGCTGGTCTAACGCGTTTCGTGGGTGTCAGCCCCACTTCTTCAGAGACATGCCTCTGAAGAAGTGGGGCTGACACCCACGATACGCGTTAGACCAGCAGTATTTGTATTTTTATTCCAAATTTGGACTATTCTTTTATGTTTTTTATTTGATGAATAAATTTCTACATTATCTTTTTTAAATACATTTTGTTAATAGTGGTTTTTTATTTTCACTTGTAGTTTTTGCTTAATTCTCAAGTGATTATAACCAATACAGTTATTATGGAATTTTTTTATATCCCCCTATTGAAATATAATACTGTTTCGTGCACTGTTTAGTTTTCCAACGGATTACTTAAAGCAATATACACACTATTTTAAACAGTGTGTTAATTTTATACATAACAGGTAACCAGGTCTCATATGGTTATTTTGTATTTAGCAATAACTTTGCATTAAGCAGATCATTCGGTGTGTACCAAACAGATTCTGCCTGTAGCAGATTTAAAGGTATACACACCATACACTTTGGCACAGTTACCATCTATCATTTTAGATACTTTATTTTTCCATACCAACGAAGTCACATATAAAGTGAATTTGCTCCTGAACACATCACCTTTGAAGGTATCCCGGTTTTCTATATTTCCAGACAGGTTTTGGGTGTATTCCTGTCTTTGTTCAGTTTTGAGCTATTTACTTTAAGTCAGACTCCCTCACCCCTCTGTGTTTGCATTAAACAGACCAGTTTCTATTTTCCAATGCGTGATATGGGTCTGTAATGTTTAGGGAGCAGTGGATCTTTGCCAGGTTTCAGGAGCAACACTGTTAGCCAGAGACATATCCCTGTCCGGGAAGCCTCCATCCCAGAAGTCATTAAAGAGGATCACTGATCTGGGCGTTGGCTACTCCTGGAAGATTTTATAATAAATCAGTCAGTGTGGTTTTAATATAAGAATAGTGACTGATTCACACCACACAAAAACAAAAATATAAAGTTTAAGACTTTAGAAAAACAGACTTTTCTAAAATTAGAATATGCATAAAGGAGTCCTTGAACAATAAAAAATGGAAAAGTGAATGACGCTTACACAATAGAAGGAACACAAAGGTAGTGGTGGGAAAAAAAAGTATTCCCCAACACCTTAAATACAGAATATGAGATAGAAAATATATTGACAATGAATATACAAATGCCAAAGAAATCCACACACCACTCTCTTAGTCCCAAAAAGGTGAGTGTATACAATACTTGTAAATACAGAAGTATATGCTGGTAGTATTCCGTATACTTGGACCCTACAATAACATAAAACAGTACATAGTGTAGACTGTATATGATAATAACAATAATAAAATAAATGGATCCACTCACGGATTTCAGAGCCGTGCCAGGCTCTGTATAGAATGCCCAAGGGTGCCTATACAGGCTAGATGCAGAATCTTCACAATATGCCTCAGAGGTAGGAGAAACAGCAAAGATGATGGAAAGATAAATAGATTTATTGCAAATAAAAATGTATAAAAACAACTAAACAAGTTGTATAAAATAATGCAAAAACTTTGTGTTTAGCTGTAATTTTCCTCTCTCTCATTTACTGTTCCCATACAGTGCCTTGCAAAAGTATTTACCCCCCTTGATTTTTTTACCTACTTTGTGACATTACAGCCTTAAGTTCATATTTTATTAATCTGAATTTTATATGATGGATCAGAACACAATATTCTAAGTTGGTGAAGTGAAATGAGAAAAATATATACCTAAAACTATTTTTTTAGAAATAGAAAACAGAAAAGTGGCATGTGCATATGTATTCACTCCCTTTGTTATGAAGCCCATAAAAAGCTCTGGTGCAACCAATTACCTTTCTGAAGTCACATAATTAGTGAAATGATGTCCACCTGTGTGCAATCACACCTTTTTTGAAAGGTCCCAGAGGCTGCAACACCTAAGCAAGAGGCACCACTAACCAAACACTGCCATGAAGACCAAGGAACTCTCCAAACAAGTAAGGGACAATGTTGTTGAGAAGTACAAGTCAGGGTTAGGTTATAAAAAAAATATCCAAATCTTTGATGATCCCCAGGAGCACCATCAAATCTATCATAACCAAATGGAAAGAACATGGCACAACAGCAAACCTGCCAAGAGACGGCCGCCCACCAAAACTCACGGACCGGGCAAGGAGGGCATTAATCAGAGAGGCAGCACAGAGACCTAAGGTAACCCTGGAGGAGCTGCAGAGTTCCACAGCAGAGACTGGAGTATCTGTACATAGGATGACAATAAGCCGTACGCTCCATAGAGTTGGGCTTTATGGCAGAGTGGCCAGAAGAAAGCCATTACTTTCAGCAAAAAACAAAATGGCACGTTTTGAGTTTGCGAAAAGGCATGTGGGAGACTCCCAAAACGTATGGAGGAAGGTGCTCTGGTCTGATGAGACTAAAATTTAACTTTTCCGCCATCAAAGAAAATTCTATGTCTGGCGCAAACCCAACACATCACATCACCCAAAGAACACCATCCCCACAGTGAAACATGGTGGTGGCAGCATCATGTTGTGGGGATGTTTTTCAGCAGCTGGGACTGGGAAACTGGTCAGAGTTGAGTGAAATATGGATGGTGCTAAATACAGGGATATTCTTGTGCAAAACCTGTACCACTCTGTGTGTGATTTGAGGCTAGGACGGAGGTTCACCTTCCAGCAGGACAATGACCCCAAACACACTGCCAAAACAACACTTAAGTGGTTTAAGGGGAAACTTGTAAATGTTTTGGAATGGCCTAGTCAAAGCCCAGACCTCAATCCAATAGAAAATCTGTGGTCAGACTTAGATTGCTGTTCACAAGTGCAAACCATCCAACATGAAGGAGCTGGAGCAGTTTTGCAAGGAGGAATGGGGAAAAATCTCATAGGTAAGATGTGGCAAGCTCATAGAGACTTATCCAAAGCGACTTGGAGCTGTGATTGCCGCAAAAGGTGGCTCTACAAAGTACTGACTTACTTAGAGGGGTGAATAGCTATGCACATTGACGTTTTCTGTAATTTTCTCTTATTTGTTGTTTGCTTCACAATAAAAAAAAAAAAAACATTCAAAGTTGTGGGCATGTTCTGTAAATTAAATGATGCAAAGCCTCAAATAATCTGTTAATTCCAGGTTGTGAGGCAACAAAACGCGTAACATGCCAAGGGGGTGAATACTTTTGCAAGGCACTGTATATTGCGGGGTTTTTTCAGAACAAAAAGGATTTCTTTACATACCATAATTTGTATCATATCATATAATTTACTTTAGAAAAAAATAATAAAATATGGTGAAAAATGAAAAAAAAAATTTATTTTTACTTGAAAAATCTTTAACTTGTCTACAAAAGCTAATGAAAAAAATGCTAAGATTCAAAATTTTGTTCAGAGTTTAAAAACACCCAGTGTTTACATGCATTTTTTGGGGGGGCAGGGGGAGGGGTTTGCATGTTATAGGGCTAAAAGTACAAATGGGGAAATTGCTGTTTCACAATATATATTTTTAAAATGTATCAATAGTGACATTTTAACACTATTATTGGTCATAAATCTCTGAATCACACCTCACATGTACATATTTTTTTTTCTTTTAAAGTAGACAACACAGTATTCAATATGTGGTATGTCCAGTCTTTTTAGAAGCCACTTAGTCACAAACACTGGCCAAAGTTAGCATTTATATTTGTTTGTGTTAAAAATGCAAAAAAACAATTATGAACGCCAACTTTGACCAGTGTTTCTGACTAAGTGGCTACTAAAAAAAAAAAAAACAGAAAATACCCCATTTGCAATACCTTGGGTTGTCTTCTTTTGCAAATGGTATGCCATCATGGGGGTAATTCTCATTCCTGGGTTACCATACACTCTCATAAGCAACATAACCAACTGGCAATTTCAATGTAAAAAAAGTGACCCTTATGTTTGACCCTGTAACTTTCAAAAACACTAGAAAACCTGTACATGAGGGGTACTGTTATTCTCGGGAGACTTTGCTGAACACAAATATTAGTGTTTCAAAACAGTATCATATCACAACAATGATATCCTCAGTGAAAGTGCCATTTGTGTGTGAAAAATGCAAAAAATTTCACTTTCACTGATATCACTGCTGTGATATGTTTTACTGTTTTGAAACCCTAATATTTGTGTTCAGCAAAGTCTCCCACGTAAAACAGTATCCCCATGTACAGGTTTTAAGGTGTCATAGAAAGTTACAGGGTTAAATACAGTGCTAGCAAATTAAATTCTCTGGTCTGGACTTTTGGCCTGGGTTGTCAGGCAGGTCCCTCAAATTGCAATCAATAAAATTACTTAATTATGTAAAAATATTACATAAATACGCACATAGAAAATATATATGAAGTCTATATGTATATTTATGAAATTATTTATGTAATTTTGTTTATGGCTGGAGATATATATTTCGTATTTTTATTTATTTATATATACGTGTGTGTGTGTATATATAATTTCATTCTAAGCATATTTTAATATTATTAATATATATTTATATTAATTTCAAAATACAGTTAGAATAAAATTAGCACTCCTGCACTCCAACTGTTAAAATGCTATATCCGGGTGCCAAGTCACGATAATAGTATAAAATATAGAAAAATACCGCAACTCTGGGCTTTCCAAAAGTTGTTGTTTATTTTCTGTCAATCCAGGTCAACGTTTCAGCTCCCGTTTGGAGCTTTCATCAGGACATATAAATCACAATGACATGCTTATATAGAACTAGTAATTGAAAATACACATCAAATCAGCTGTTCCCTGTTGCTCCTGATGCCCGGCGTGTCTCCAGTCACCTCAACATCAGTATGCAGCTAGGACCTATCGTATTGTTCGGCGACGTCACGTTGCCATGGATTAAGCTGTGCGTCCTGCCACTGTGGGGAGAATCCCTCCTCTTAAACATGATTGGTCCGCCTCTCAATAAATATATATAATTATTTTTATTTTTTTACATTTAATTTACTTATTTATATTTTATAATCGTTATAATAATAGTGTATGTGTGTGTGTGTAATTTAATTCTGAGTGTATTTTTATATTTGTGTGTATATATATGTGTGTGTGTGTGTGTATATATATATATATATATATATATATATATTGTATATAAATTATATTTTTTATTTTATTTTACACATGCAGAGAGACTGTCAGGCAAATACTTGGACACCTTTTGCGGCAATGTGACCGCTCTGTCAGAGCGATCACATGGGCGTGGGGTCCTAATTCACCGAGGGACGACTGCCTGGGCTGTCAGGCAGTCCCTCCACACCGGGAGCAACACCAATCGCTGCCGGGGGAATGGCGGCGATCAGTAAATAATACCGTTCTGACGGCTCAGGACCATCATTGGTCCTCAAGGGGATGTTTCCGATGACTGTCCTGAACTGTCATTTGTCCTTAAGGGGTTAAAGGCTTTGTTTTTATATTTCCTCTTTTGCTACAGATGTGGCAAAGGACCTAAACTTCATCGTTATTTGACATAAATATTGTTTTACAAAATAGCTCCAGACTCACTTCCAGATCAATAAGATCATGCATGATATTCTTATCATACTACAAATAAAAAGCTTATATCCTATTACATATTCCAAAAATACATTTCACCAAAACCATAATGGCCTTTTGTATCAGTTATATGAAATAGGCTGTTACTGCCTTTCTTCGTAGTTTAATATAGCTTTAATCGTATTTACTTATTTGGAGATATACAGTACATACCACCGTGTTTAATATATTTATATGTTTTTGCTGAAAATGTCACTGTATTGTAGTAGATTAAGATGTCTAAAAAAACCTTATCAACACAATGTAGTATGTCATTTTATAGGAGAGTTTACCCTGATTACGTATTGAATTAATATGCAGATGGTATTGCACAACTCTAAAATTTTGTAATTATGTATTTATTTTTAAATATTTTATTACAAAATGTGTTAATTATAAGCATTACATTATTACCTATACAATTAAAGGACCACTATAGGCAACCAGACAACTTCAGCTCAATGAAGTGTCTGGGTGCCAGGTCCCTCTAGTGTTAACCCTGCAGCTGAAAACATAGCAGTTTCAGAGAAATTGCTATGTTTACACTGCAGGGTTAATCCAGCCTCTAGTGGCTGTCTTACCGACAGCCACCAGAGGCCGCTCCCGCGATTCTCACTGTGAAAATCACAGTGAGTAGACGCTGACGTCCATAGGAAAGCATGGAGTAATACTTTCCTTGGGAGCCAATGTCAGAGGGGGAGGAGAGTTCACTAACGCCGAGGGAGCCCGGTGCTGCATAAAGGTAAGTGGCTGAAGGGTGTGCAGAACCTAAGGACTACATAGTGCCAGGAAAAAGAGTTTGTTTTCCTGGAACTATAGTGGTCCTTTAAGTCCATCAATTGGGAATTTAAATTTGTATGTTAGTCTGTAAATCAGTAGTTGGTAAAGATTCATTTTTGTAGACATTGATATTACGAGTCTTGTATGGATATGTCTACACTAGTGATGTTGTGTGGACTCTTGGTTCAATTCAATCTGTGGGCCTTAACATATTTTTCCAATTGTTTTCACGCCAGGACCTTGACATAGTAAATAAAATTGCATTTTAACTGTGTTTCACATATCCAGTAAATAATAATGGTTGTGAAAATACAAATCATCCTAGAAAGAACCACCCATTAGTATTTTGGCTTACTACAGTGTACAATTTAAATAACCTGTATATTAAAGAATTTTGCTAGAAATATCTTTATTTCTTTTGGTATAGTTGTAATTACTACCAAACTGAATGGATTGTATTGACTGTAGAAAGATTAAAGGATAAGTTGACTAATTAAAAAAAAAAAAAAAATGATCAACAGGCAGGTGGGTATTTGAAAATTTTAGTTGAAGCCCTTGTAAGCCCTTCATGTGTTTAAGCTGCTTTCTTATTTAAATCCTTAAGGACAGAGGACGGTTCAGGACCGTCATCGGCATTTTCCCATTGCCGACCGCTGACGGTCCTGAACCGTCCTAACGGTCCTAGTTACTTACCCGATCGCCGTTGCTCCCGGTGTGGGGAGACTGCCTGCAGCCCAGACAGTCTCCCCACACTGGATTAGGACCCCTGTGGCCATGTGATCGCTTAACACCGATCACATGGTCACAATAGGTGCCCATGTGTCTGCCTGCAGGGGGACTGTCTGTGCTGACAGGCAGTCTTCCTGCAACTGTAAAATCAAAAAATAAAACAAAGTTAATGTTAATTTAAAAAAAAATTAAATATGTGTGTGTGTGTGTATATGATAAAAAGACATATATTATATCTATATATGTCTATATATCATATTAATAATGTTATACTAAGTTTATATTAATATGTACATATATTAATATAAAAATACACTTATAACTAGAAAAACTACAATTTCTGGGGAAATTGTGTGAAGTGTTCTTGCCTCCACCAGTAGTCTACAACTGGAGTGGGCAGAGTAACTGTTATCATTTATATAGCACATTTAATTGCAACGTTGTTGCACAGTTACATTAAACCATTCAATGGACGGCGTTAGTTGCAAACAAATGATTATATTGTGAAAACTATCAGGACTATGGCTTAGCCGTTGACATGTTTAGTGGCAGCAGGCATAGCTGAACGTTTTGATATAAGATTTGTGTAGGTGGGCCTGAAAATAAGGGAGTGGTGGCAGTTTAGAAATCATGTCCTGATTTTTCAGCTTTTGCCAGCTCCCACTCTAGCTTTGCCATTCATTCCTATGGGACAAATTTCGCCACAAGAACGACGATATTCCGTGAACCATTCGGCGAAACGTTCCACAAAGTAATAGCAATCCGATCGGGAACAATCTGCACGTTTTGGTAAATTTTTGTCTATGTAGTGTAAAAACTGTGGGAGGAGTTAGGGTGGCAAATTTTGCTATAATAATAATAATAATAACTAGAAAAGCTACAATTTCTGGGAAATTGTGTGAAGTGTTCTTGCCTCCACCAGTAGTCTACAACTGGAGTGGGCGGAGTAACTGTTATCATTTACATAGCACATTTAATTGCAACGTTGTTGCACAGTTACATTAAACCATACATTTATAAAAACATTATCAGGTGTTCAAAAGGCCCTGTCTATGACATCACTTGCTGCTGCAGCTTGACACAGGTCAGAGTATTTTGGTGGTTGCCATCTTCAAACGGTCGTATCTTAAAAACTATAACTCCTACAGTGAAGAGCTTTATATTGTGAGAATCACAAGACCCAGACCTACATTTTGATGCATTGTATGTCTCTGAGGTATTAAAATTGAAGGCACAGTCGCAGTTTAGAAATTGCACTTCAAATTTGAGCTTTGCAGAGTGAAGTTTCAATGAATGTCAATGGACGGCGTTGGTTGCAAACAAATGGTCATATTGTGAAAACTATCAGGACTACGGCTTAGCCGTTGACATGTTTAGTGGCAGCAGGGATAGCTGAACGTTTTGATAGGTGGGATTTGTGTAGGTGGGCCTGAAAATAAGGGAGTGGTGGCAGTTTAGAAATCATGTCCTGATTTTTCAGCTTTTGGCAGCTCCCACTCTAGCTTTGCCATTCATTCCTATGGGACAAATTGCGCCAAAAAAGACTAAAAAAGACTGGACATACCCCATATTGAATACCCTGGGTTGTCTATTTAAAAAAAAAAAAAAAAATATGTACATGTGGGGTGTTATTCAGAGATTTGTGACAGATAATAGTGTTACAATGTCACTATTGATAAATTATAAAAATGTATGTTTTGAATCCGCAATTTCCTACTTGTACCTATAGCCCTATAACATGCAAAAAAAA